GTTTTTCGAGACAGGGTTTCTCTGTGTAGCCCTGGCTGTCCTGGAACTCACTCTGTAGACCAGACTGGCCTCGAACTCAGAAATCCACCTGCCTCTGCCTCCCAAGTGCTGGGATTAAAGGTGTGTGCCACCACCGCCCAGGTCCAGCTTTTCAAAAAAGACTTTGCTGAGTACCTTGTAGTTATAGAAGAAATGTGAGTAATAAGACCTAATGCACACTTAGAACAGCAGCCATGGGCATTCCAAGTTGGAAGGCACAGAACTGGACCTTCAAAAAGCCTAGGGAAAACTTAACCCACTCCAGGCGCCCTCAAAGAGAGCCTACTGTGTAACTCTCCTGTGTGCCACGCTGAAGATACATCACTAATGCTACGAGATTAAGATACGTCACTAAGCACAACAGACACAGTGTGCACACACTGTCATCAGGAAGGAGGAGCCCACAGTCCTCGGGGCTGTGTGAAGAACTGGGGATTATGAGATCCCAAAAGGAGGAAACTATCTAATCCAGAAAGAAGAAAGTCTGAGAGTGGCGTGGAAAGGAGAAGTCAGGAAAGCAAAGGATGTTTCGATCAGATGGCAAGACCCAGAAATGGAAGGCTTGGTTTTGGTGGTGGTCGTGGTGGGTTTTCTTGTTTGTTTTTTTTTGTTGTTGTTTTGTTGTTTTTCAGTAAAGGCTTTCTCTGTGTATCCCTGGCTGGCTTGGAACCCACTCTGTAGATCAGGCTAGCCCCAAACTCACAGAGATCTGCCTTCATCTGCCACCCAAGTGCTGGGATTTAAAGGCATGTGCCACTATTATTTCACCAAAGTCCTTGTTTCTACAATGTGTGGGCAAGGCAGACCTAGGAGGTGACTTAGTGAAAATGCTCTACTTTGCTTTTGTTTGGTTTGGTTTTTGGTTTGTTTTTGTTTGTCTGTTTGTTTTCAAGACACAGTTTCTCTGTGTAGCCCTTGCTGTCCTGGAACTCTCTCTCTCTGTAGACCAGACTGGCCTCGAACTCAAGAGATCCACCTGCCTCTGCCTTCTGAGGGCTGGGATTAAAGGCGTGTGCCACCACTGCCCAGCATCATGCAAGATCTTACAGTGCTGTTCAGTGCTGTGCATATGGGTGGAGAGAGGTCATTTTACAAAGGACCCATGGGCAATGGTGTCTCTCCAAAGCACTTGGAAGGCACAGTGGCGTATAAGTAGTGACAGGATCTAGATCTCAGGAAGATGCTGAAAGGGATGGATGTGTTATATAAACAAATAACTCCACAAATACTCACAATGCTAGGAGATTATGATGGAAGTACCTGTACCAGTTGGGTCTAGATACTGGATCAAAGAAGTCCGTGGAGGCCAGCAAGATGGCAGAGCGTGTAGAGGCACCAATCATCAAGCCTGACAACTTAAATTTGACCTCAGGGACCTAGATGGTGGAAAGAGAGAACCTGTTGTGTGTAGCTTTGCTACCCTGCCTAAGCTTCAGGAATGGGCCGTGCTACTGGCCTCCACCCTTCAAGCTTCCCTTTGAATCCATGGATAAAAGACACAGACACACATAGTTGTTCAATTTCAACTTGCTTTTGACACAGTTGCTGGGCGCTACTATCTCCCACCTGGAAAAGCATGCTCTTATTTAATAGACTTAGCTCCGCCCCTCTCCACCTGCCCTCAGCGACATCTAGTCCCAGATGATGGATTCCTGATGGCTCCCCCTGTAGGAGCAGCCGCAGGCTGCCATTCCACCCATGATCTCACGTGGCTGGCCACCAATTCTCTCTCAGAAGCATGATGAACTCTGTCTCTTCCCTCCTTGCGTCCAACCATCTGCTTCCTCCAGGGACTCGAAAGTCCCGCCTATCCCTTCCACTCCACAATTGGCCCATGGCTTCTTTACTGACAGATCAAGAGCATTTGGGGAACAGGACCTTAGCATCAGAACAGCCCCTACAAGAACCAACACCCTCAAGTTGTGCTCTGTCTTCCACAGACAATGACATGTGCATCTCATTCCCCACCACACACACATTCATACACGCATACACACACACATACATACATGCATACACACACATACATACATGCATGCATGCATCATACACACACACACACAAACATGCACAATTTGTTAGAAGGTGATGTAAGGGAAACTTCAGAGGCCATGCTACAACGAGGGAAGAAAGCAGTTCTCTTTCGAATCACCCTTCCCTAGTCCCTAACTGCCCCTCATCTGCTTATGTCCGTTCAGCAGAGTTTACAAACCAAAGCCTCAAATGAGGTTAGGAGAGGAGCCATCTATAGGCAGAACATCCAAACTAATGGGAGGAACAAGCGCAAAAGCAAGAGGAAGAAAGGGATTGGAGAGCTGGCTCAGTGGTTAAGAGCACTGACTGTACTAACAAAGGCCCTGAGTTCAATTCCCAGAAACCACATGATGGCTCACAACCATCTGTAATGGGATCTGATGTCCTCTTCTGAAGATAGCTACAGCGTACTTGCATACATTAAAATAAATAAATCTTAAAAAAAAAAAAAAAAGCTAGGGAAAGCCAGACTGTATGCTTAGGGACCAGCTGAACTAGGGTGCCTGAGCTGCAGGTGATGAGTGATGAGGAGATGGAAAATGAGAGTCCTTTCTAAGGACCTTAGTTTGAGACTAGTTACCCCAGAAGCAAGGAATGAGTTCTGGCTGAGCAGTAATAACTGAAGCGGTAAAGGCATCCTTAGGGCAGAGAATGCAGAGTGTCGTACAGCTGGGAGGTGAGATGCAGGAAACGAACCGACTGTAATAATCCAGGCTGAAGGACCTGCAGTGTGTGGGCAAAGGAGGGCTCTGGACATATTTAAAAGCAGAAACACACTGGATTGCTTGATAGTCTGGCAGGCTATATGAACAACTTTTTTTTAAAAAAATTCTGTGATAAGAATGATACAGTAGCCACTTTCCCCATGAATCTCTTTCCATCAGATCCAACGTTTAATTCCTAAAGTTTCCT